CCCAGCAAATGTAAAAAGTGTGGTGCTAATAAACAAATTGTCAATATACAACAAAGTCTATCATGTTTTCTTCAATACCTTTAATTGTGCATTACCGTTCTCGTTCACTTCTAACCACCTGTGAACCACCACCAAATATGCTCCCTTCTATTTATGACCCACAATTGTAATCTGAGGTCATAAAAAGCATGTGTCCCCTTTAAATAGGATCCTCTGGACTCCAGCTCCTAATTCTCTCTTCTACTATAAGAGGCATCAGGTCTGCCTTAAATGCACTCTTTCTGTCCAGCCAGCTTTATATATCCTCCACTCCACCAGAATTATAGCATTAGGTCAAAGACAAAAGCTACGTAGTGCTTAAACCTTTTAAACTCACATTTAAAAGTGCTTATGCACACCACAATATGATAGCATTCAAACAATAATGCCAGTATTATGGCCAGCTCCTACAGATACCGGACTTCCAGGTTTCATACACATGTGTGTATGTACTTTGTGTGCTGACGTCATCAAAGCTCTGACTTGGAAAACATAGTCTGGACAGAATCTGGGCTGAGGGTACTCTCATCATCCACACAGGGTCTTGCGAGATGTGTGGCACTAGGGATCACTTTCTTTTCTTCGCTAAAGTCCAGAGGATCCCATCTCAAAGGGAACACTTGCTTTGTATGACCTTAAATTAAAAATGTGGGTTATAAATATAAGGTGAGAGCACAACTGGTGGTGGTTCACAGGGTGTGAGAAGTGGTGTGGATGAGAGTGGTGATGCACAATTAAAGAAATTGATCTGTAGTACAAGCAGCACACAGTAAACACATTAACACTTGCTAGACACACAATTAACCCCTTGATTGCCCCAGATGTTAATCCCTTTCCAGCTAGTGTTATTAGTACAGTAACAGTGTATATTTTTAGCGCTGACCACTGTATTAGTGTCACTGGTGTTGTCAGTAGCAGTTGGAGAGGTGCCCACAAAGTGTCAGTTAGTGTCAGATTGCCCATCGTACTATCACAGTCCCGCTATAAGTTTCTGATCACAGCCATTACTAGTATATAAAAAAATAAAAATTCCAGTATATATCCCATAGTTTGTAGTCACTATATTACCAAAAATACATAGCAGAATAAATTTTGGCCTAAATTTATGAAGAAATTAGATTTTTTTTTTTAATTCAATATGTTATATTGCAGAAAGTAAATTTTTTTTTTCAAAATTCAGTCTTTTTTCGTTTATATAATAAAAAAACTCAGTACCACAAAAAGAAAGCTCTATTTATGGGGGGGAAATTATATAATGTAATGTGGGTACAGCGTTGCATGACCATGCAGTTGTCAGTTAAAGTAGCACAGGGCTGTATAGCAAAAAATGGCCTGATCAGGAAGTAGGCAAAATCTTCCAGAGCTTAAATGGTTAAAAAATATAAATTGATGCATACTTGAGTTCCTCTTTGAAGCAATCTGCTCTCTGAGCAATGTAAGTCCATCTAACAACTACACTCTTTATTGTATGTAACACATTACCCTTCACCATAAGCACAATTCTTGCATTCAGTTCACATTAATAGGTTTCAAGTTACAGTCTTTTACACTGTGATCTCCAAATATACTTTATAGAACCCACAGGGGATTTATGTAAAAAAATGAGCGGCAGCTGGCCACCGACGCATGTACTCTGAAGGAACGGCATACTCCTGCCGTTCCTTCTGAGCTCTGCACTATGACTCCTACGCACATGCTTGACCATTCAAGCTGCTGGAGCCCGTGAACTCGAAAGGAAGACCAAGTGAAGATGGTAGCCCTGTCAGCGGGCACAGCGTGTTGCTGGAGAGCTTCGTATCATGGTAAGTTTTCATAATGTGCTAGTATGTGATGCATACTAGCACATTATGCTCATAACTTGCAGGTGGAATTTTTTTGCCACTTAAGTTTACTACCGCTTTAGCATACCTTTGTGGGCATCTTGGGGCCTTTTTGATAGTATGACTCAAATACAGAAGCGAGGCTGGAGAGGCTCCAGTAGGTGATGCAGCTGAAAATAATTTTTAATGAAATAAGCATGCATGGCATTTATTTGGTGCAATGCTAAGCTCATGTAACGAAAGGTACTTTGCAATTGCAATTGATTCAGTTATTTTTTTCCAAGGGGTGTGCTACCAAATATTAAATTAAGGGTGCCAATAATTGTGTCCAGTCCATCTTTTGGGTTTTGCATGGAATGTGTCAGATTTGGTTTTTTGTTTCTCCACTTCTTTGTGTCATACCAATACAAGCAAAATAAATAAACATGAGAATGCCTAAACATTTGTAATTGCAACAGTTTTTCTGGGTGAAGTGGTGCATTATCTGACAGGAATGCAGGGGTACCAATATTTTTGGCCATGACTGTATTTGAGACCTGTGTTTGTGCTCCAAACACAGAGACTGGGCTTTCACTGAGAGCTCTGGGTCCCGTACTAATGGTCAGGATCCAGGAGGTTTGGTTCCTGATCACTTTATCACTATGAAAGCCTCTGATTGGCTATCACAGTGCTCAGTCACTGTTTAGCCCATCCCTGTGTTTTTTACTCTTTTTGAATATAGAGAAAGATACATTGTGTCTTTTCTCCTTGCTAGAGAAGAAAAGTGTAAACAAAGAAGTGTGTATAAAAAATAAATTAATAAAAGAAAAAATGGTTAGATCAGGTTTGATCCAGGTCAGAGTTAGTATTAGGGTTAGGTCAAAACTCATGGTCAGAGTCAAAGGCCAAGGGTCAGTGTGTTTTAGGTTATTAAAAAAAAAAAATCTTTAAAATTAGTATCATTTTCAGCATCATTGTCAGTGGGGTTTTTTTTTTGGGCAGGAGTAAAAAGCAAAATTCAGATTCAGTATACTTGGGAATTAATCCCAAAAGGGAAATTAAGATACAGTTACATTCAACAAAAACAACACAAAATCACATAAACAAATGAAATACAAGACAATAACAATAAAATTACCATTAATAGCAAGTAATATTAAATAATCTTTTAAAAGTAAATTAATACTATACTGTAATAAACCATACCATCCTATTACATCCTAATTACATCACTTTCTCTAAACATTACCTTAAAAATTATTACACATCATTAAACAGATTAACATAATAGCATACATAAATATCTGATTATAAACCAGATATAAATCCTCACATCCAGCACTCACAGAGAAAAATTATATATTTTGATGGTCACTGGCAAAAAATGATTTCCTATGTTTCTCTGTGGTGCATCACAGTTGTAAAAATCTATCACTGAAAGTACTCCTCAGACTGGCCAGCTTATTCTGGAGTAGGTGGGAGGATTTGTCCAAGAAAGCACACACCTTGGACAACATCCTACTCTCTGGCAATGTTGTTAAGGCTCCAATCCAACAACATCAATGGCCATGAAAGTCAGTTTATTGATTCTGTTGTTATCAGCCACCCAGCATATCACCACATACAGAAGAGCACTGGCCATCACAAACTCATAAAACATCTTCAGCATTGTCTGGCAGATGTTGAAAGATCTCAGTATCCTAAAAAAACAAAATTGAGGCAACTCTGGCCCTTATAGAGCCCTTCAGTGTTCTTACTCCAGTCCAGTTTAATATCTATGTACACCCTAGATACTTGTAATTCTCTACTAATACAATGAAAACCAACTCCTGGGATGGAAATAGGTCATTGGTGTCTTCCGCCTTCTCAAATCCACAACCAGCTCTTTTAGATACAGATGGTTATCTTCACACCACGTGACAAGGTTCTCCACCACAGCCCTATACTGAGTCTTTTCCCCATCCCTGGTATATCCTACTACTGCAGAATCATCAGAAATTTACTGAAGATGGCAATACTACATCTGGTAGTTTAAATCAGTGGTTGGGTGGTATTAACCACCAAATGAAAACCAAATTTGTCCTGGAATAAGACAAGGTATAAACTCACCTGTATACATTAAGTAATTTGTAATTATATGTAGAGTTTTACTAACACATGTCAAAGTTGCAAAATAGTGTTCAGGCATTAGGATTTGTTTTACTCTCCATCATGAAGGGGTTAAGCTGTGACAATCAGAGACAAAAGAAGTATATTGTGATTTGCTACTGCATACAGAGACCCACTAACCCTAACAGATATACACTATATTGCCCAAAGTATTGGGACGCCTGCCTTTACACGCACATGAACTTTAATGGCTTCCCAGTCCATAAGGCTCAATATTGAGTTGGCCGACCCTTTGCAGCTATAATAGCTTTAACTCTTCTGGGAAGGCTGTCCACAAGGTTTAGAGTGTGTCTATGGGAATGTTTGACCATTCTTCCAGAAGCACATTTCTGAGGTCAGGCACTGATGTCAGACAAGAAGGCCTGGCTTGCAGTCTCCGCACTAATTCATCCCAAAGGTGTTCTATTAGGTTGAGGTCAGAACTCTGTCCAGGCCAGTCAAGTTCCTCAATCCTAAAATCACTCACCCGTGGTATTATGGACTTTGCCTTGTGCACTGGTGCGCAGTCATGTTGGAACAGGAGAGGTCCATCTCCAAACTGTTCCCAAAAAGTTGGGAGCATGAAATAGTCCAAAATGTCTTGGAAAGCTGACACCTTAAGAGTTCATTTCACTGGAACTAGGAGGCCAAGCTCAACCCCATACCATAATCCCCCCTCCACCAAACTTTACACTTGGCACAATGCAGTCTGGCAAGTTACGTTCTCTTGGCAATTGCCAAACCCAGACACTCTAGAAAACACATCTCCATTCTTTACACCACTGCATCTGATGCTCTGCATTGCACTTGGTGATGTAAGGCTTGGATGCAGCTGCTCGGCCATGGAAACCCATTCCATGAAGCTCTCTACACACTGTTGTTGTGCTAATCTGAAGGCCACTTGAAGTTTGGAGGTCTTTCGCTATTGACTCTGCAGACAGTTGTCGACTTCTGCACACTGTGCACTTCGGCATATGCTGACTCCACACTGTCACTTTGCATGGCCTACCACTTTGGCTGGGTTGCTGTTGTTCCCAGTTGCTTCCACTTTGTCATATTACCACTGACAGTTAACTGTGGAATATTTAGTAGCAAGGAATTTTCACAGATGGACTTATTGCACAGGTGACAACCTATTAACGCTTGAATTCACTGAGCTCCTGAGAAACCTATTCTTTCACAAATGTTTGTAGATCAGTCTGCATGTCTAGGTGCTTGATATTATACACCTGTGGCCATGGAGGTGATTGGAATAGCTGAATCCAATGATTTGGAGGGGTGTCCCAATACGTTTGACAATATAGTGTATATCACTGCTATGTTTCAACATTTTAGAGGCCTGTTACATTACAACTTAAGCAAACAATCCATATCAATCCTTTGCATACTGCTATACTCCCTTAAACTTTTCTAGCAAACTATATAAAAACAGGAATTTTTGTTACACATACATTGCAGCATTTTTAAGCTAGCCAACTGCATCAAAGTAATCCTTCTCTGGCCAGAAAGGGATTACTTTGACCACAAAATACATATTTCTTAGATCCTTTTGTATCAGCAACATTATTTTTAAAGAATAAAGAAACTGGTATAATTTTCATCCATAACCCAAAACACATCATTTTCTCCCTGACATATAGAAAAAGTGATTTAAATTGTGATGATATTTCAGCATTGATTGACTCTAGATGGCCATGCTTCATACAGTACATTAATGTGTATTTGTAAAATGTCTTTTGTCAAGGTCACATTTATCAGGTTGTTAAGAACATGCAAAAAATGAATGATTTAATTCATTTCAAAGCCAGATGCTGACAGCTAAATTAAATCCACAATTCATCTAGTACACCTGTATGCGTGTTAAAAATGGTGGCCATCACTTCAGTAATTTTCAGATATTGGGCTCACAAAAGACCATAAAATATAAGAGATGTATTCTATTTTATTCACATCTCACAGTTATATTGTTATATGGCGTACATATTTTCGGTGAGCTTTTTTATGTAGATAGATATAAACATTGTGCTTGTTTAAAGCTTTACTGGCAAAACACATCACAAAACATTACAGCAAAAAAGCAGATAGAAAGATGAACAGACAGACAGCAGCTTTAAGGCAAACTGACAGCTTCTTTAAGAAGGCTATCCCTTGACCTACAAATACTCACCTCTCCCGCACTCCTTAGCAAACACAAAATACCCTGTAATTTTGAGTATGGGGGGTAACATGTGACCACCTCCCATGTGACAGGGCTCCAATCTAACAGTAAGGCTTCAGGTTCAGGCTAAACATGAGTTCGACCCAAGCCCAATCTTTTTTGCAGTTTGATCTGTTTGCCCTTCTGCCTGAACATCTGGCTAATGTAATCAGAAGTCTGACATTTAGCGGCATTACTACTACCAGCTCTAAATTACAGATCTCCACTGTGAACAGAACGTTGCTTGGTTCACTCATTTCTATCTGGCAGAAAATAGTTAGACTTGAGCACTGTCACATGGTGAAGGAGTAATGTCAATCCTCCTCTAAGCTCCAACACCAACCAACACAGTGTTTTTGTGTGGACTGTGACAAAGGAAGGAGCTGGAGAAGTGGGTATCAGTGAGGGCAGAGGCACCCAATTCTGATATAACTTCCTTTTTGTACAGTGCAACATCATCCTCCTCATCATCTGTCTTACACCTAAAGCATTCTCATCCTTTATGAATCAAAGCTTCATTATGGGGTTTATTTACTAAAGACCAAAGGACTATTAATTTTTTTAAGGGAAGTTTCATTTTGCAAGGGAATTTCCCCAAAATTAGGTTCTGCTGACTTCCATCACCTAAACATGTAAGCAAATATGCTGTTTTTTCCATGCATATTTTTGGTATTCTACTCTGGGGCAAATTACCTCACAAAATTCAACTGAGCTGAGCTATTGTATTCTGACAGTGGGGAGACTTCCCCGCTGCCAGAATATACTGATCAGCACTGGTGGCTATAGCCAGCAGCGCTAATCGAGAGACATTTTCCCAACAGGCTGGTTGTACACAAGTCAATCGATACCTTGTATACAATCGGCATGGACTGAAATTCAGCCAGTCCCAGCTGAACTGGCCGAAGTTTGATCCATGTATGGCTGGCATTCGTTTCTTCCCATAATGCACAAACATATAGAAAGGTTATTTGATTTACACCTAAAATTAGTCTATTAGAAAGATTAATGTGGACCTTGCATCAATTTGTAAAGTCCACTTATCTTGTAGTCCTCTGCATGCAAAAATGAACAGCTAAATTAAAGAAACAATAAAATTATAGAAATAAAAAAAGCTTATCTTAGACCCATGCTTCCTGCAACTGTTACTTTTTTAAGATCCTTGGAAGATGGGATTTCCAAAGTTCAAAAGAAGATACTCCAGCACCTTCCAACAAGATTTTGAACGTATAAAGTTCAAACACCTGTGAGGTTGTATCACTTTATTCACCAGAAGTGAAAGAAAATTCCAAAATTTTGGGTTGTCCCCAGAACAATAATAGAGGGGGAAATCTTCCAATGGGAACACTTAGTTCTGATGACCCTGGTGACTAGCAGGAGTTCTCTCATTTTGAAGAGATTTCCTCTCACTTCCTGTTTTGGCTATGAAACTGGAAGTGAAGGGAAAACTCCCCAGTGAGACCAATATAAAAAAAAATACTGTTAGGGGATAAAACCCTCCCTTGCCCTATCCAAAATGTAAAAAAAAAATGCCTTTAGTTCTACTTCCATTTTCCCAGGACTCTGGGAGAAGGTAGTTATGTCACCAGCACATTCAGGAAGCACCCAGAACAAGGGGTGAAAGGTGAGTAACTTTTACTTTCTTATTCTAATGGGGCTGTTTTTATTAATGTACTTGTGCTTTTTATATAGTGGATGGAGGTCTACAAAATAAGCAGACCTTATAAAGGCCCTCTTTATGTGATAAACTAACTAGCAGACACAAAGAGATATAATGGTATTTTGCAGCTTATGCTGGGTTATATGCTAATTTATACAATCAAATGTAACAAATTAACATGTTAAAATGATGACAACAGTCCCCTTCCCAAGTATGACAAATAAACAAAATAAAATCAATTACTTAGGTAAAGGTCCCAGTGAAGGTCTACTTTGAAGAAGCTGGTGACTGGTACTGAATTGGCATATTCTGATTTCAAGAACATATTGCAGAGATTTAAAAACCCCTCAGGTGTTTCATTCAAGTGCATTGCTATGAGGTTGTTTACTAGCAGTTAGAGCTTTGAGAATACTTGTGCAATATTGCCTGGCAATTCATTTGACTGTACCTTTTGAATCCTAATTATTGTAAAGTGTGCAGCATATAATCTGCTTTACAGAGCAGAAATGAACCTCAGCAAGTAATAAGAGGACTAACTTAATAATGCAAGCCTTCGGGACATACAAATACTTTTCCTCATGTCATCTGTCAACCAGAAATAATAGAGTACCGTGGAAGAATACATTGGCAAAAGTAATACCTCAGAATCTATTATCAGCAAAATTATTCAGAAAAGGTAAAGTCAATGGTCATTTTTGCAACAGTTATCGGCGTTTGTTTAAAGCTATCTATTATACAGTTCTCTTCCACTAGAACTAATTGTAGCAAGACTTCCAGTCTTTAAATATAAAAAACTAATAATAATAAACTTTAGTCCAATATGTGAGTTTTTAAAATTTAAAGTTATAAGGCATATGCTAGAAATACATATGTACATTTGAAACCTACAGGTACTGAATATACAGATTTTTGGGCTAATTTATATACTGCAATTTTTAAATACTGAAAGATTTCATGTTAAAAAATACTTTATATAATTTGGTTGAAAACAATGCTTGTTTATTGTGATATTTGTAAGTAATCTATTGATTTTGATAATTGCCTATGAAATTGCTTAATGTTTACAACACAGTAAAATCAATTCAGAGTGCAGGATTGGTTAAAAAGACTGTGAAACCAGCATCCAGGGCCACCGATAAGGGGGTAGCGCTGGTCCTCCTGTAGGGGGCCCGAGCCCTTCTCTTTGACGGGGGTGGTCAGCCTGCAGTTTAAATGCATTAGTAATGGGCTTTTTTTCAACTGGAACCTTCTGCTCTGGCCCTTTGCATTGTCACTCACTGCAGTCACTTATAAACACAGAAGTGCTGCTTCTGTTTTTTATAAGTGACAGTGAAGTGGTGGAACGAGGAGAGGGCAGGATGGGACTGGACTGACTAGGGCACTCAGCTCTAGACTCGCACCCGCAGCATCATTAGAGGCCTGCACCGGCAGCATGACCTCCTCCTGTAAGTGACAGTACACTGTCTTCTGTGAAGGAGAGGAATGCTGTGTACTGACAGGGAGAAGAGGAAAGGTCTGCAAGAGGAGGAGAGGGTCTGTACATAGCGCAATCCTCATCCCTGCATTCTGTACAGATAACAGTCCTCAACCCTGCACTCTAAATGTAACGCACTTCTTAACCCTGCACTCTGTGCACAGTGCAGTCCTCAACCCTGCACTCTGAATGTAACACACAGCTTAACCCTGCACTCTGTACCTAGCATATTCCTGAACCGTGCACTCTGAATGTAATGCACTCCTGAACCATGCACTCTGTATGTAGCGCACTCTTAAACCCTGCACTCTGAATGTAACCCACCCCTAAACTCTGTATACTGTACATAGTGCACTCCTGAATCCTGCACTCTGTAAGTAGCTCACTCCTAAACTCTGCACTCTGAATGTAACACACTCCTGATCCTTGAACCCTGTATGTAGCACAATCCTGAACCCTGCACTGTGTATGCAGCACACTCACGAACTCTGTACACTGCCCACTCTGTACATAGTGCACTCCTGGTCCCTGGCCACTGAATACTGCACACTTTGTACATAGCACAATCCTGAGTCTTGCACTGTGTATGCAGCACACTCCTGAACCCTGCACTCTGTACACAGCGCATCCCTGAACCCTTAAATCTGTACACTGTGCACTCCTCAATCCTGCAATCTGTATGTAGCTCACCACTGAATTCTGCACTTTGTATGTAGCACACTCCTCAACTCTGTACTCTGTTCTCAGTGCACTGCTAAAACCCTGCACTTCAACTGTAAAACACTTCTCAACTCTGCAATCTGTA